AATAATGATGCTGATGCTGATCACACAGACCACTTGCTCTGTGCCGGGCCCTATTTTAAGTGCTTTACATGTATTAACTCATTTAATTCTCAACAACCCGAGGAGGCGGTTTGCTATTATGATAGTTATCCTCATCTTACAGATGAGAAAAGCGAGACAGAGAGTTAAGTCGCTTGCCCCAAGTCACTCAGTGAGTACGTGGCCCAGCCAAGATCGGTCCCAGGGTCTGGGCCCCCTTCGCCCTCACTTTACACTGCTCCCAGTGACAGCCGTAGCAGGAGTGCAGGGCCCCTGGTTCGAATATTATTAAGAATTCCAATCAAAAAAATAAATAAATAAAGAATTCCAGTCAGAGTCAGCAGATGAACCTTAAGCCAAGGGCCGGGCCTTCTAAGCATGGGGCCCTATGTGACTACACGGGTCACAAGCTGCCCATAGGACCGTCCCATTCCTAGATTACCCTGAAAACTCCTCAGTGCCTCGGGAGACAGGTCAGCCACTATGCGCCTCACTCAGAGAAGCAAACAGCTCAGAGAGGGGCCTCATTTTGCCTGAGGTCCCGCAGCAAGTTATGGCAGAGATGCCACATGAACCCGGGCCTGCTCGACTCCAAAGCCCCCTAACTCGTGTCCGAAATGTGCCCCGGGTGTTTGAGGAGAGGGCTGCGGGGTTCCAGCGGGCCGTCCTTCAGTCCCTGGTCCGTCTCCTTCCCTGCCCCATGCAAGGCCCAGGAGGCGTAACCGGCTCCCTCATGTCCCCCCAGACGCTGAGGACCACGCGTCCTGTGACTCTCCCATCCCCGGCGCCAAAAACCGCTGGTCACCATGGCTACTTCGAAGTCGGCGGGGGAGGAGGAGAACACCATCCTCATGGCCAAAGAAGAGCTGGAAGCCCTGCGCACGGCATTCGAGTCGGGTGACATCCCCCAGGCCGCCTCTCGCCTCAGGGAGCTGCTGGCCTCCTCAGAGAGCACCGGCCTGGAGGTGGGTGTCACCGGCGAGTCTGGGGCTGGCAAGTCGTCCCTCATCAATGCCCTTCGCGGCCTGGGGGCCGAGGACCCCGGCGCGGCTCTCACGGGCGTTGTCGAAACCACGATGCACCCCTCGTCCTACCCGCATCCACAGTTTCCTGACGTGACCCTGTGGGACCTGCCGGGGGCCGGCTCTCCGGGCTGCCCGGCCGACAAGTACCTGAAGCAGGTGGACTTCGGCCGGTACGACTTCTTCCTGCTGGTCTCCCCGCGCCGCTGCGGGGCCGTGGAGACCCGCCTGGCCTCCGAGATCCTGCGCCAGGGCAAGAAGTTCTACTTTGTACGCACCAAGGTGGACGAGGACCTGGCGGCCGCGCGCACCCAGCGGCCCTCGGGCTTCAGCGAGGCCGCCATCCTGCAGGAGATCCGTGACCACTGCGCCGAGCGGCTGCGGGCGGCGGGCGTGACCGACCCGCGCATCTTCCTCGTGTCCAACCTCTCGCCGGTCCGCTACGACTTCCCGCTGCTCGTGTCCACCTGGGAGCACGACCTGCCCGCCCACCGGCGCCACGCCGGCCTGCTGTCGCTGCCGGATATCTCGCTGGAGGCCCTGCAGAAGAAGAAGGACATGCTCCAGGAGCAGGTGCTCAAGACGGCCCTGGTGTCGGGCGTCATCCAGGCGCTGCCGGTGCCCGGGCTGGCGGCCGCCTATGACGACGCCCTGCTCATCCGCTCCCTGCGCGGCTACCACCGCAGCTTCGGCCTGGACGACGACTCGCTGGCCAAGCTGGCTGAGCAGGTGGGCAAACAGGCAGGCGACCTGCGCTCTGTCATCCGCTCCCCGCTGGCCAACGAGGTCTCGCCCGAGACTGTCCTGCGGCTCTACTCACAGTCCTCCGACGGGGCCATGCGGGTGGCCCGGGCCTTCGAGAAGGGGATCCCTGTGTTCGGTACGCTGGTGGCCGGTGGCATCAGCTTCGGCACCGTCTACACCATGCTCCAGGGCTGCCTCAATGAGATGGCCGAGGACGCCCAGCGGGTCCGCATCAAGGCCTTGGAGGAGGAGGAGCCCCAGCCCGAACTCAGCTTGGAGGCAGCTGGCGACAATGGCGTGGAAAAGCGGGGATCCGGGGAGGGAGGTGGCGAGGAAGCCCCGCTCTCGGCCCGCAGGAAGCTCGGCCTCCTTCTCAAGTACATTCTCGACAGCTGGAAGAAGCGTGACTCAGAAGAGAAATAAAAGTGCAGCCCCCAGACCCCTGCCTCACCCACAAACCACGCTTTAACAAAGCCGACCAAACCAAAAAAACGAAAAGGCCGATGTGATGAAAACGAGAGCGGCCGTGGCTGAGGGGCGGGGTGCGGAGGGGTCTGAGGGCGGGGTCTGAGCGCGGGGTCTGAGGGCGGGCCCAGGTCAGAGAGAGAAACACCGAACTGGGGTAGGAATTGACCCTGGCGGGAGAGAAGTTCAAGGCGTGGATGGTGGGCCAAGGGCTCCTTGGTGGTACTCTCCCCTGGGTCCCTAAGTAGCCAAGGGGGATTTATGGGTGCTTGGTACATGCCTCCTCACTCACAACAGTCCTGCTCCCCTGGGTCCCTAAGTAGCCAAGGGGGAATTATGAGGTGACAGGGTAGCCAAGCCTAGATCCAAGACAGGAGGCAGTGACAGGGTAGCCAAGCCTAGATCCAAGACAGGAGCCAACTGTCAATGAGATGCCACGTGGGTGGCGGAGTGCATGGGGATTCGGGCCTGCTAAGATACTTTAGTTGCGATGGTCATACTACGTGGGTGGCGGAGTGCATGGGGATTCGGGCCTGCTAAGATACTTTAGTTGCGATGGTCATATCCCTTTCTGAGAACCCTAGTGTCCCTAAGGCCGCCTCTGGAGGGGGAGGGGCAGCCAATCGGTGCCCAGGATCAGCACAATGGTGCCTAGCAACTGGGTTAAATGGGGGGAGGTCGGGGCATCCCGGGCCAGTGCTGCTGCCTGTGAGTGACCTGGGGCTGGGTGGCGCGGAGGAGGGGCCCCGTGGCCCCTGGGCTGGCCTCCGTGTGGGGCCTGCGGGAGATGGGTGGCAGTGGAGGTGGTGGGAGGGCCGGTGGCGGTTTCTCTGAGTATCAAAGGAGGAAAGGCTGAGGGCATAACTTGGCCGCAGGGAACAGCCGTTTCAGAAAAGGTGGCGGGTGTGTCTGAGCGTGAACGTGGGTGTCGATGAGTTCGCCGACATGTTTGATGCTATGGGTCTAAGGTTGAGAGCAATTCGCTGGGACTAGGGTCACCTGTCTGTGTGTGATTGCGAGGAATCCTGCTAAGTCTCAGTGATTCTGATGCTATGGGTCTAAGGTCGAGAGCAATTCGCTGGGACTAGGGTCACCTGTCTGTCTCTGCATGATTGTGCGCGTGGGTGTGTGTGCACGTGCACAGACTGGATGGAGCTGAAAGGCCGTGGGTCTGAGAGTGAGGGCGACTGTGTTGGGTCTGAAAGCTGCACACGGCTGTGAGCAGCACACTGCGTGAGGCCATGTCGGCCCGGGCGGCCCGAGGAACCAAACTCTCCGGCTGAGTCAGGGGTCACACGTGTTTTTAAAAATTCAAGAACTACCAGATTGGGGGGTTTGGACATGACCCCAAGGGCCTCTGTGGGCTTGAACGAGGGTCAGAGAAGGGTCAGATTTAGGTGCAGAGAAGAAAGGCGCGTTCCCAGGAATCCACAGAAGGCTCCGGAGTCTGCGCGAGGCCGGTGGCAGAGTGGGGACTGTGGTGCCGGTGCTCGCAGACAGTCCCCGCACACTTTCCAGGACCTGGTGGTGGTTGTTGCCTCATTTTGGCACCTCAAATGACCCCTGACCCGAGGAAACAGTTCCAGACTCAGAGGGTCTGCTTTTACCTGGACAATTAAAGGGGGTGCTGAGTCTTTTTTCTAAAGAGCGCTCAGCTTTGCAGAAGGATTTCTCCTCTTCCCGGAGCCTCCCATTCATTGACTATTTGGGGTTCACTCAGGCCTTTCTGCACCAAAAGCTGTGAGGAGGATCATGGCGGGGAAATCCTAGACCCCCAGATGCACAAGACAGATGGTCTCTGCCAGATCCATTCCCAAACCACAACTTACATCCCTGTACGTGTGGGCCTCAGACATTGTCCAAAACACAGGACTCGCCTGAAGTGGCTGGGCTGGACAGGTCGGGCATGAACAGCGCGTGCTCACACCGCACTGGCTCTAAAGTTGAGATAGGCAGAACGGGTTACTTTGGTCTCCAGCTGATCCCCATGCCCTGTCCCTTCTGCCTCCAACTCTCTACTCCCTATCTTGGGAATGATACTTGGGGTGTGGATACGGCATGGGGTCCACAGTCATTTCCACCACACCCATGCAGGCGGAGTTGGGGTCTTTGTCTCCCAGCCCCCGGCTGGCATCTTGGCCCCCTTAGCCACTGTTTGTTCTAGCTCAGGCCTCTCCTCCTCTACCCAGTTCCTACCCCCATCCCTTGTCTCATCTCCAGTCTCATTCCCCATAAGACTACAGGGGTCTGTAATGTCCACAGTGGACCTCTCCCTCCCATGGCTACCCACAGATAAAGATCGAGCTCAGCCTGATGTTCCAAGCCCTTCCCAAGCTGGCCCCTGCCTGAACCTCGTCAACAATAAGACACCGAGTCTTTCAAAAACAGAGCTGGGAGGGCTCTGAGTCATCTCTCCATTCTGCAGGTGAGGAAACCGGCACCTCCACCTCTTGCAGATGGGGGAAATTAAGGCTGTAGAGCGGACCTGGCTTTCCCAGTGTCACCTGGCAAGTCCTTGGCATGGCAGTGACTAGACGCAGTCATGCAATCCCAGATGTCAGAGCTGGCAGCCCCTGTCCATCATACAGAGCTGGGAGGGCTCTGAGTCATCTTTCCATTCTGCAGGTGAGGAAACCGGCACCTCCACCTCTTGCAGATGGAGGAAATTAAGGCTGTAGAGGGGACCTGACTTTCCCAGTGTCACCTGGCAAGTCCTTGGCATGGCAGTGACTAGACGCAATCATGCAATCCCAGATGTCAGAGCTGGCAGCCCCTGTCCATCATACCAGCGAGGACTCCGAGGCCCACAGGCAGGATGGGGCTTGCCTAGGTGGGCACTGTGGTACTCAGAAGCCAGGCAGCGGGGGTGGGCAATGTTTCCACAAAGGCACCAGACCCGATGGGTCTCTTTCCTGGCGTTGGAATTGTAGCACCCAAAGAGGGCCTGGCACATAGTGGGTGCTGAATTGTGCAAGGATCGAGGGAGTTGTATGGCAAAGGGTCAGAGGGAGCTGGCCTGTGTCCTGGCTCTGGCACAGGTTGTAATGCATTTGGCCAGTGACTTTTACCTTCACGAGCCTCACCTTGTAAAATGAAGACTTAATGATATGCATGTGGTTGGAACAATGGTGGACCCCCAGTAAGCATTACATTAATTCCTGACAGGGACGAGGAGGGTTCCAGCTCTTAATCGCGGCCCTGTGCTGTTGATCGCAGTGCCTGGTGCTTGGTAAATGCCCCCCAAAAGTTATTTAAGAATTGGTATTCTAGAATCAGAAGACCCCGGTCCCATTCCCAACCCCCATGTACTAGCTGGAGGCCTTGGGCCAGTGATTCATCCTCTCACTGCCAAATATAGATAGTAAAGGGATTCTCATTTTCTGGCTGTTGAGGATTTTATGAAATACTCCAGGAGGAGAATTTATTCATCTTGGCAGCGATGAATAAATGTTAACTAAAATAAGGCATTTACACCGGGCCTGGCACATTATTGCCCCTGTGGGACTATTACTGGTGATGCCTCAGTGCCTTGGGCATGCTGAGGGATGTAGAGGAGAGAGCAACGCGTTGAGAATGATCCTTTACCTGTCCTGCCAAAGGTCAAGTCCCGAAATCAGAGCCGAGCCCATGGCAAGCAGCATCTTCCAGACCGGTCTCAGCCAGTCCATGACGTGGGAGCTATCAAAGGACATCATGGCTCTGAAGAAAGCCTTTGAGGCAGGGAACCTGCCAGTAGCGGCTGCCAAGTTGCAGGCCACACTTCGTTCACTGGAGGACGTCAGGCTGGACATCGGCATTACCGGGGGGACAGGCTCAGGCAAATCGACCTTTGTCAATGCCATCCGGGGGCTGGGAGACGAGGAACCCAACTCAGCCTGCACGGGTGTGGTGGAAATGACTGTGAACCCCACACCGTATCCACACCCCAAGTACCCCAACGTCATCTTCTGGGACCTGCCGGGCGTAGACGCGCACACCTTCCAGGCCGACGACTACTTCCAGAGGGTGCTGCTGGGCCGCTACGACTTCATCATATTCATCACCTCGGACAGCTTCACTGCCAACCACGCCCGGCTGGCCCGCGGGATCCTGCGGCAGGGCAAGCGCCTCTACTTCATCCGCTCCAAGGTGGACGTGGACCTGGCTGCCTCGCGCAGCCGCCGCCCCAGCACCTTCTCTGAGGAGAGGGTGCTCAGCCAGATCCAGGCCGACTGCTGGCAGCGGCTGGCGGGTGAGACGCAGGCGCTGGGGGGCTGGGGTGGGCGGATTCTTGAGGGACTGCCTGCCCTTGTCCCTGCATCTTCCAGCTGAGGTCCAAGTGGGAAAGGGGTCACCTAAGGTCGCATTGCTTGGCTGAAGGAGGCCCTGCAATGACATGCTTAAAGCTGTGTTGTGTGCCGGTCTCAGCCCATCAATAACCAATGTTGTGGCTGGACCAGCCTACCTGGTTCTCATTACAATGGCATGGTGGCCTTCGGCAATAACCATCAGGGGACTTTGCGAAGATACAGGTTTACACAGGACCTGGGGCGAGAGAGCGCACAGGCCTGGGTGCTGCTTTTACTGGCGTTGAGGGTGGGGGCCTAGGCTTTCGTAGACTCACTTTTTATTGGAGAATTTAAAACCTAAGATCAGGAATTTAAAGTGTAGGAAGAGAAAACAAACAAGTAGCCCAAATGATCAGATGTTGAAATCAACCACGTTCTCTAAGACAAAGGAGCCTCAGGGCCAGGCTCGCTATCTAGTCATGCGGCTGGCCCTGTTTGTCGGAGACAGCCTTCCTCCAAGCGGTGCCTCTTTGAAATGGGTGCCTTGCAATCAAAGCTCAAGTCAGGCGCTTGCGTTACAAGAAGAAAAGCCAAAAGTCAGGCCTTATACTGTAAGCTGCCATTTGCTGAGAGTTGGCACTTTTCAGACACAGGTGACAGAGACCCAATCACTTGCAATAAGGAAAAAAAGTATATTGTATTGGTTTGTACATTTACCAAGTTAGAAGAGAGCAAATGCCACCATGCACGCAGCATGGCACCTGTCACTCATGGCACCTAACATTTAGTGAGGGCTCACCACGGGCCAGGCACCATCTTTATGAACTCAGCTTGCCACCACCACATCCCTAGGAGGTAGGTACAATGATCACCTCATCGTACAGACCAGAGAGCTTTGGAAACTTGCCCAAGGCCACACAGGTGGTAGGTAGCAAGGCCCACACCTGAACTTGGGCAGCCTGGCTTAAGCCACGTGCTGTGCAGAATTATGTCAAGTGCTTGAGCCCGGCAGCTGTTGGGACACTACGGCTGTTCTGGTGTGGAAACCACTGAACACAGGTGTTCTTGTCTCTGGCAGCCGAGGGCCTGGAAAACCCCAAGGTCTACCTGCTCTCCATGTTTGAGTTGGGAAAGTATGACTTCCACTTGCTGGAGGAGGCGATGGTGAAGGAAGTGGACAGCCACAAGCGCCATGCACTCCTGGTGGCCCTGCCCAACATCTCAATGCCCATCTTAGAGAAGAAGGCTGCCTCACTGCAGCAGCACATCTGGCTGGTGGCCACGGTGGCCTGTGGCGTCAACCCGACTCCTGTGCCAGGAGTCCAGGATGTGGCGTGCGACCTCTACAGGCTCATCCGCTCTCTGGAAGGCTACCGCCACAGCTTTGGCCTGGACAAGGCATCCCTCGTCAAGCTGGCTGAAGGGACGGGCCAGCCCCTGCACCAAATCCTGGCGGCGGTACAGGGCCCGAAGACCAAGGTCACCAAGGCGCTGGTGACGGACCTGCTGGGCCAGGCCTCCAGGGATGCCTCCGCTTTCACCCGGGAGCTCCTTGGTGTGCCTGTCCTGGGCGCCCTGGCTACTTGTGGCATTTCTTTCGCCACCGTCTACCAGATGCTCCGCAAGTCCCTGGACATGGCCGTCAAGGACGCCCAGAGCGTGCTGGTTCAGGCTTCCCTTGACACCTCTGACCACAAGCTCCCAGAGAATTCCAATCAGTAATGCCAGCCCTGAGCCTCGACCATCTGGAGGTGACAGCGATGGGCTGGGAGAGACAGGCTCTGTCTCCAGGCTGGGTGGTGTGAGGAATAGGAAGCGCAAGGCCTGACTCTTCTGGATTGAGCCCGTGTGCTGTCTCATGCTTTTGTGCCCTGGGACTTATGCCCTTTCTGGCCACTGCCCCCACATTCCCTACTCTGACGCCCCCCATGTCAACACGCAGTCCCACTGGGAAGCAGCAGGAGGGGATGGGACGTGGGACATAAGTTTGACAAGGTAGGAAAGAGCTCAGCTGTCCAGCTGAAGAGGGCACTCAGGGTGTCTGCAGGTTGGGGCGTGGGGCACGGCATTCAGAAGCATTTCTGTAAGGGGAGCATGACTGTCACAGCTCCGAAGGGCCCTGAGGGTCATCATGAGCGGTTCCTGCCTGAGGTCTGTCAGCGAGTGGCAGGGCCAGATCCTGCCCTGGGTCTCAAACCGCCCAGACTTTAGCCCCCTCTTCAGACCCACACACTCTCTACTGCTGGCTGGATCCCCTCATCACCCCCACCCCCTCTGGCTGTGCTTTTTTCTTGACAGACCCTAGATCCCCAGGACATGGACATCAGGACTCTGTGGGTCCACCTGAGGTCAAAGGAGACCAGGGAGACAAAGAAATGGCAAAGGGGTGGCAGGCAGATGAGACTCGGCTGGTGGGGGACCGACTGCTACTGAAGGGCGGAGCGGCTCGATCTGAAGATCAGGATGAATTTGGGGTGGCTGGGGTGGCCACACCCATTTGGAGGCAAACTTTCGGAAACACTAAGACCATGTACCCGATTTAACTGAGATGAGGATACTGACCAAACTGTATGGTATAACTAACTGAGGGCAGGTTCTGGATTTAAAGAAAAGGTGGGGGACCTCTTCTTTAGACAGGAGTAGCTGAGGTTTACAGGGGAGGGAAGCCATCATGTGTACCCGACAGCAGGGGTCATGTAAGGGTCAGGTACGAGTACCTGGGCAAGGACAGAACCTGCTTCGACCAAGGGGACGCACCACACTTAACCAACTGCAATTAACTAGGGTCGTGTTCTATTTCTTAACCATATAGTAAACGAGGCCATGCACCCAGGCATTTCTCCAAGGCAGGCGGGCACTGTCTCTGCGAACAGACAACACGAGGGTAGTCACCGCATTAGCCGGAGGGCACTGTATTTTCCATAACACAGAGATGGGAGGCTTGATGTCACCCCAGGAAACAGATCACCCTTTTCTAGGGGTTTCCTCCTTAGCAGAGACTGGTCTTCATCTGCTTCTGACGACTCTATGACTCATACTGAATGAGTCTGCTGGGAAATTCACTCAGGCTCCAATGGGTGGCCAGGGAGACTCTGCCCGCCAAGGGCTGGGACCCACACTTGCCCCACTTCTGGGACAGCATGCTGCGGGGGAGGGGAGGAGCACTGGAACGGGCTTGCACAGCTGCTTTTATGGGAATCACCGGGTCTGCCCCAGAAACGAGCTCCCAGAACTGGCCCCACCTTGCAAGGAAGGGCTGAGACTCGGGCAAGAGGGACTTGTTGCCCCCGTCCCTGCAGGGGGGAAGGTCAACGAGAGCCTGCGCTTCCTGGCGACTGTTCTGATCCCGCCCACCACCTACCCCTGGGGGGCTGAGGAGGGGCTGCCCGTTCCAGGTTGATGTGAGATCTCAAAATCACCACCTGAACAACGCTCCACTGAGGGTGCGGGCCTGGCCCTGAACACCTCGTGTCTCCGGGCAAGGAAGTCATGGTCCCTTGTCCATCAGGCTTGCGGCCACTCTCCACCCCGCTGGAGCGGGGACGGAAGTTCTCCATCGCCAGCCATCCCCTGGGGACCCAGAAGGGGGTTCCCTATATGACACTCCTCTCCTTGGCCTCAGGCCAGCAGGCGGCTGTACTCTGCCAGGGCGGAGGACTTCTTCACCCCGTCCCAGATCCGGGCGGCATAGTGGAACCTGTGAGAGGGGGTCAGCAGTCAGAGCATGGCCTGCGACGAGCACTCCCTTGACTGGGCTACAGGGAGGGTGCCTGCGCTGATGGTGGGTGGCCTCGATTCCCCTGCCACCCCCTGGCAAGCAAGCGAAGCTCAAAGTCCTGGGCCTGGACACAGACCTCAAGCGCCCACCTCCAAGTCAAAGCTTCTTCCCACTCCCCTCAGCCTTGGCCTTTGCAGGGAGCGTTTTGCTCTCTACTTCCTTCCGGAGTCTTGTGATCGGCTGCACAACCCTTCTACCTCCCCAGTTCTCCCTCCCCGACTGGGCTCTGGGTTACACCAAGGGGAGCAGAGCTCCAGCCCACCTTGCCCCGCAGTCTCCCGAGTGGCTTCCTGTTGCTGTGTGTGCACTTCCTGTCCCTCCCGGCCACAGCCGGCTGCAGACAGACCCAGAAAACCAGGCGAGAGGCTGCTGCGCCAAGCCAAGCTATTTTTCAAGTTTGTTTCTCTTAGAAATCAGAGGCGGCCGACCTGGGTCTGTGGCAGACTTGCTGTGGGCTCTGGACACAGAGCCAGGTAAAGCCGGGGCTGGGGAGGGTGAAAACCAGCTGGCAAAGGAGGAGGAAAAAGGAGGAGGAAAAGGAGGAGGAAAAGAAGAAGGAAAAGGAGGAGGGGGACAATGAGACTGCGCATTCCAGACGAGCTGGGAAGTAGCTCCTGTGGTTCCCAATGGCTTTCCAGCTTCCTCTCCTGTGAGGCTATGCTTTTGCACTCGTGGCCTCAGAATAAATCTTTAAGTTTGGACTCACTGGTCCTACTCTTCGCAATCAAATGACACTTAACCACAGGTGTGTGGCCTGACTATGCGGCACTTCCTCTGAGCCTACATTTCCCCACTGGTAAAACCAGCCACTCCACTGGCTGATTAGGAGGATTCAAAATCACATAAAACAATGTGGGATACAAAACAGAAAGCAATAAATGAACAAACAAAATCACAGACAAACAACAATATGGTGGCTGGGGGATGGAGGGATGGAGGAGAATGAAGAGGGCAAAGGGAGTCAAATACATGGTGATGGAAGGAGTCCAGACTTTGGGTGGTGAGCGTACAATGCAAGGCACAGATGATGTATCATAGAATGGTACACCTGAAACTTATTAACCAATGCAACCCCCCCAAATTTAATTAAATAAAAAATAAACCTAATCCTAGGCCAACTTTATAATCATGACCCTAACTTTAAACTTAACTTTTAAATCTTAACCCTAACCTTCGCTGCACCCTCAACCCTAACATTCTAACCCTAACCCGAATATTCTTACCCTAACTCTCTGACGCTACCCATCTAACTCTCTCCAACTCTAACCCTAACTGCCTAACCCTAAACCTTACACCCCAACCCTAAGCCTAACACCGTAACCTTAACCCTAAATCCTCAATAACCCTAATGTTAGCTCTAAAGCTAACTCTAACCTAACCGCTAAACCTAATCCTTAACTTCACCCTAAACCCTAACCCTAACCCTATCACTGATTCTAATTTTAACTTAATCCTGGGAAAAAAAAAATCACATGAAACAATACATTGCCTGGCACAGAAGAGGCGCTTACAAGATGGCAGCAATCGTCGGTGTTCCAGAAAAGGCAACTCAATGTGGAGAGATCTCAGGGAACCTCCTTCCGTCTTAACCAGAAGTAGGGGACACACACCTCACACTGACCTCCTCTGCCAAGAGCTCTTACCAGTTCTTCTCAGTGAGGATTGTGTGTGACAGCTGTGGCCGGGCCATGGACATCACCTGGCTCCGGAGCTTGCTCACCAACGACTGGAAACTGGGGTGGCCGCGGTACCCGGGGAGCAGGGAGAAGAGGGGGCTGGAACTGGGTCCTGGAAAGTTGAGGTGGGGGATAAAGGGACATCTTCCTAATGAAGCAGCACCCTGGGCTTCCAGCAGCACCTGAGGTTAGCCCCAGCCCGGGTCTTCCTGCTCCCCAACTCTGAAACGTGCTCCTGAGAAAGGGTCTTAGCACCTGAGCGACAGGCCAGAGTCTCCCTCTAACCAAGGTGGGCCCAAGTCTACCTCCAGACCGAGGAAGCACCTGTCCCCCCACGGCCCAAATTCCCTTGAATACCTGTTCTTGGCAGGTTTTCACTCTCCGCTTCGCTGTCCATGAAGGGCACCAGGAACAGGTTGACCTCGGAGTCCAGGAAGTCGGAGGGCAGCCCAGGGAAGACGTTGCACTGTAACATGGACAGAGTACCTGGAGGAGAGAAGCCATCAGCCTGCAGGTACCATGCTGTCGAGGGAGGGGATAGGAGGTAAGAGTATCATGGTCAAGCAGGGGTCAGGAGACTAGTGTGGGGGTATGGGCCATGGGGCTGGATCAGGAGTTAGGAGGCCATTGGCCAGCTTAGGGTGGCCTGGGGTCCCTCACCCTTATAACGCAAGTGGGAGTGGGCCATGAGCTGGTCGATCATCAGGTGCATCTGCCGCAGCTTCCGAGGACAGAAGTCCTCTCGGCGAGCTTTGTTCTGCAGGAAGACTGGGGCGGATGGGAGATGCGGCCCTGTGAGGCCTGGCCACGCAGACCCCTCACTCTCACCCCTGAGTTCGGATCACTCATAAATACTTCTGTGGCATGTAATCGCACTTTAGCACCAGACCCTGTGCTGGGTGACTAGAGACCCAGAGGTGAGTCAGACCTGGTTTCTGCCCACAAAGACAGAAAAGACAGAAGAAGGCAGCCACGTGATCAGGAGTAAGAAAGTGGTGGCAGGGCCTTGGCAAGGCCAGAGAAGTAGTCAAGACCCTGCCTGGGGTGTCACAAACTAGATCTTTGCAGAAGAGCAGGGTGTCAAGTAGGGCAGAGCAAGGACAGAGCAGGCGAAGGAGTGGCACGTGAGAGGGACGCATAGGGCCTCAGGAGGGCGCAGGGGCTGTGTGGGGCCACTTGCGTTGATTCAACTCTTACCCCTGAGCCCCACACTGGGAGATGCCAGGGACCCAGAAACAAGAGGACTTGAGTCTTGTCCCCAAGAGGCTTCCATTCTGATCAAGGAGCCAGACCCGGACTCGGGGTCACACCCTCAGTGGCTAGGGTGGGATCGGGGCAGCGGGACCCTTAAGGGAGGAGCAGCTAATGCTCCGTGACTTCCCTCCCTCCTCCCAGTTCCCCGCTTCCTCAGCGTGCCCTGCCGTTTGCCCTTTTCTCCCTTCTGCCTGCCCCTCGGGCCCCAGAAAGCCTCTCACCCAGGTGCGGGTAGTACTCGGTGCCTTCGTCGGAGCCTGATGAGCTGGTGGACTCATGGCTGGGGGACGGGGTGGAGGGCTTCACCATCTCTGCAGTCTGGAGGAACCTTGGGGTTTGGGGTGAGGTTGATTGATGGTCTGGCTTTGGCACCCCATATCCCATAGCCAGGGAAGGGGGATGCGCTCATTGAGGATCTGATGAAAGCTATGGCCATGGCCAGAAAAATGCCATGCATACACCACATTTCTCATTCAATTTTAGGAAATTCAGAGACAACCTTCTCAGACACTAATCTATTGACTAATGCCAACTGTACACATTTTAAATGAGTTTCTGCTATTTTTTAAAAAAATATATATTTTTAGAGCAGTTTAAAAACTGAGTAGAAAGTACAGACATTTCCCACAGACCCCCTCCACGTCCCGAACTCCTCCACTAGCGACATCCCTGTGAAGCTACACGACACACCATCAGCGCCTGAAGTCTGTGGTTCGCGTTACGGTTCACTCTTGGTGGTGTCTATTCTATGGGCTCTGACGCATGTGACACATACCCGCTGTTATACTATCAGAGTAGTTTTGCTGCCCTAAAATCCTGTGCACTCTGCCAGTGCATCCCACCCTCCCCTTTACCCCAGCAACCACTGACGTTTTTACCGTCCCTATAGTTTTGCTTTTTCTGGAAAGTCACAGAGGTGGAATCATATAGTACCCAGCTTTTTCAGATTGGCTTCTTTCACTTAATGAAATGCACTTAAGGAGCCTCCCTGCCTTTTCATGGTTTGGTAGCTCATTTCTTTTTAGCCTTGATAACATCCCACTGTCTGGATGGACCACAGTTTATCTACCCAGTCACCTACCGAAGGCCATCTTGGTTGCTCTAAGTTTTGACAATTATAAATAAAGCTGCTATGAACATCTGTGTGCAGGTTGTTGTGTGGATACGTTTTCAGTTTATGCTTCTTTTAGATAACTTTTCCAAACATGTAAATACTGTTAATCTGTTAACTGAGAGAAGGGATAATGGGGTCTGATAAAAGTGATGGCCATTCTCCCCACACAGATACTCACACAAACATGTGGCCCACAACTTCAAGGGGTTCACATACTCTGAGAGGCCTACCTGTAGACTCTGGCTTAAAGACAAAGGCTCTGTCACCTACCAGCCCCTGAGCCCACAGCCCCACCAGAACATATATGCCACAGGGCAGTCTATTTTATGTTTTGTTCACACCTGTATCCCAGTGCCCTGAACAGTGAATGGCATATATAAATGGTCAAAGCATGTGTCATGTGACTGAATTCCAAGGGACAATGGTGGTAAGAGAGAGGTTTCAGGATTAGGTCACTCAGCTCTGGTCATAACAGCCAGCTTCCCAGCGAGCCTTTTCTTACTGTTGGCCAGGCCCACAGCTCACCCCATGCCCAGGGCTCCTAATGCAAACAGTAAGCTCCCCTTTATCAATTGTTTAGTATGTACCAGGCACTGTGCTAAACGATTTAAATTCTTTTAACTCAATCTGCCTAAAACATTTTGCCTGTGTGGAGCTGGAAAAAGCCACTTGCCAATGAGCTGGAAGTCAAACCCAAGGCTGTCTGACTTCCTACAGCTCAGCACCCTCCTCCCCGTGAGCTCTCATTCCTTCCTGCAGCCCCGGCCCTGTCCTGAGGCTTCTGGCCTCCCATAGCTATCTCCTGGGGCTTGAGGTCAAGAGGAACCCTTATGGCTACAGGTTCTGAGCCAGTCCTGTCAGGGGGCATTTCTGGAGCCTCCAGCTGCTTCAGGCAGGACTCCTGCCAGATCCTGACTCCCCGCTTTTCCTACCTGCCAGGGTACCAACAGCATGGTGCACACACCTGGAGGAGATGGATGACACTCTAAGGACCACACAAGCCAGCTCCTTATGTTATTCATTCGATAAATTCACATTAAATGTCTACCCTGTGCCAGGCACAGGGGACTCTGTTCTCCTGGAGCTTACATCCTAATGGGGAGACAGACCATAAAGACACGTAGCCTATTCTGTTAGGGAGTAAGAAGTGCAACGAAGGAAACACAGCAGAGAAAGGGGTGGGGGGCTGGAGTGTTAGGTGAGAAGGTCAGGGAAGAACTGAGGTTGACCTGAAGGCCACAAGGGAGGGAGTCTGAGAAGATCTGCGGGAAGAGTGGTCGCGGCTGAGGGAGGAGGGGTGCAGAGGGCCTAGGCTACAGGGAGAACAAACACGAGGTCACCTCGGCTTCCATGGAGGGAAAGCAGTGGGAGAGGTCAGAGAGGTGACGGGCTGGAGGGATGTGGGTTTTAATGAGTGATGTGTAAAGTCACTGGAGGGTTGTCGCGCGCGCGCGCGTGTGTGTGTGTGTGTGTGTTGAGGGAGGGTTAGATGGCGAAAACCCACTCCAATGTGCATTTTAAAAAGGGTCCTTGTCGCTGCTGTGTGGAACTTGTGAGACCTAGTCAAGCGGCTTGGTCTCGGGCCCCGTCTCGTGCCCGGCCGTCCCGCCCCCAGCTCCTTACCTGTACAGACTGAGGTCGGTGAACCAGTCCTGGACGACGATCACCACATGGCAGACCGTGAACAGGAAAGCAGCAATCTGCAGTGACTGAGGGCAGGTGGGAAGGGACGGCAGAAGTGAAGGAGCACTCTCCTGGCAGCGACTCCTGTTCCCACAACTCAGCAGAGGGGGCGGCAGGGTAAGCACTTTAGGGCCTTTAAGCACCTACTGTGTGCCCAGACTGTGCTAGCACTTCCCTCACGGGCCATCCCTAAATTGGGCAAAGTAGGAACGATCACCCCCATTTTATATAGGCAGATACTGAGGCTTGAAGGGAGAGGGCACTTTTCTGAGGGGCAGAGCCAGATGTGACCTCTATGTTGTCCTCTTTCTATAGCTCTTGGGGAGGCCAGGGTTCTGATGAAGCAGAAACTAGGTCGACCCACATCCAGCTCCCCATCATGGACCTCGCGGGGGAGGGCGAGACCTCACCTGCATCTCGACGTAGGTGTGGGGAAGGTTGTACTCCGGAGGCAGCTTGCGGTCGTTGTTGATGAGGTGGTCCAAGATGGAGGGGCTCAGGATGGGCTGGAGCAAGGAAGAGAAGATGCTGTCAGGGAAGGGCTGGGGGGTTCAGGGCCCTAAGGGTCATGGCTACCCAAGTCCCACACACTGAAGGCAAACACATCGCCTCTCTCGGGACAAAATAATGCCAGAAACATAAGCAGGCAGTTTCTAATTAGCACAGTGCTAGGCAGCAAGGGCGAAAGAAAAATGTTCCAAAGCAGACACGTTACCCCTCACTCCTTCACAAAGCATCACTGCTTTAAAGTGCCTCACGCCCGAAGAGATCTCCTAGTACTAAAAATTTAACGTTTACTTGAGGGACTCATCACATCTCTTGAAGACCCTTTTCATTGTCAGTTCTTTCAAATGCTTTCAAAACTTCGCTAAGATAATTACTTGGGCCAAAAACAACGATTAGTGTGAAAATTGGTGTGGATTTAAAAATTACATCGGTGGCTATAAAATAATCAGTGGTGAGCTCATCTAACTTTTCTTAAAAAACTTCAGGAGCTAAGTCAGCTGGAGAGTGTGGCGCCTCCCCACTGCATTGCGTGGGACTGAGAGGCTCTCCCAGTTGCTTACTTTCTAAAACTCCAAACGCCAGTGTCCATTCTGCCTTGTTTCTCTAACTGTGCCTGGCCCCACGTGGGCCGCTGACCCAGGCTGCACACAGTTCAGTTCATTTCTAGGTTCCTGTGGTCCCTGCACAGAGCATGGCACTCAGGTCTCAGCCACATCTGTAGGTTTTCTACTCTCCATGCCACCAATGCCCAGAGTGACCAGAACTCCGTTCCACTAACATTCAGTGAGCTCCAGGCAGGTGGGGAGGGGGAGCAGCACACAAGAACCCACGGGACACGTCCTGTGCTGCGATGGGAGGTGCACGCGGCACTGGTGGGTGCGCAGAGGGCGAGGGGATTCTGGGAGGACGCTACACCGCAGTGGAGTCTTCGGGGAGAAGGCGTCAGCCAAGCAAAAGGACAAGGGCAGAGAGTGCTCTGACAATAAGGATACTGACAGCTAAGGGCGCGCAGTACACATCGGGTGCACTTCACTTGCGTCAACTCGCTGAAACCTCACAAAAACCCTAAAAAGGGGGCGACACTATTTTCCTTTGTAAGAAAAGTGAGGAATGGTATTGTTAAATAACTTGGCCAAGATCGCACACCTCGTGGGTGGTCTCAGGTAAAGGGAACAGGATGTGGGAAGCTCAGATGGGACAGACACCACGGCGAGGCCTGTGGCGTGTGTGGCGGGCTGGTCACTATGCCAGAGCGGGGAGGCTACAGAGTCTGAAGGAGGCAAGCGGGCTAAGGAACAGGGATTCAGCTTAAGAGCGAGGGAGAAGCTGAGGAAAGCTGCCAGTCGAACGCATGACAGATGGCTACTGGCAACAGTGATGAACCTGAATGTTAACCACGTGGCAGGTCCTGGGACAAGCACTGTGCCCAGATGGTTCCACTGAATCCTTGCAAGAATCATGAGGCTGAATACATTTATCACCCCCACTTACAAAGTAACTGAGGTCTGAGGGGGTGTTAAAATCTCCTCAAAGTCACCCAGCCGGTAAGAATTAAAGGCAGGATCTGGACACAGACACCCCGATTCCGGAGCCCTTTTAACCACTCTACTAGAGACCCTTTAGGCTACTGTGGACATGAAGGGTGAGAGGGGAAGGGGCAAAATCTGACAAGAGACTAAGGGCCAAGAGAAGACATAACTTGCCCAAGGGCACCTAGCATGTCCGTGGCTTGGCTTCTGGCTTAAAAGTATTCTGGGATGGAGCTGAGTGTGGCACACGGCAGGAGGGGCAAGTGGAGGTTGGCACCTGTGTGTCCAGGAAAACAATCCGTTCTTGGGTAATGAAGAAGTCGATGCCACTGGTCTGATTGCCCCCTCGCTCCTTCATTTCGGCGCTCTGAGCCCGGAAAACATACGCCCTGGGTGGGAGCAGGTAGGTATATTAGAGTTTGGATCCCGGCCTTGGACACCTCGTGTGACCTGTGAGATGGGCGTGTGAGGAGGGGTTCCCTGCCTGCCCAGAGCCTGCTGTCTGGGGGGCCATATTTTATACCACGGGATTTCACCCCCACTCATAAGCAGATGTGTTAACTTGTTGAACGAAGTCAACAGACTAAGGTGCTTAGGAGCGGCGGCTGTCCGACTGCTGGGGTGCCCAGCCCAGCTCTGCCTCCTCCAGGCTGTGTGGCTTTAGGCAGCTTCCCGATCTCTTTTGCCTTGGTTTCCTCATCTGTAAAATGGGGTAGTGATAGTCTCAAACCTCTTCTATTCACTGTAAGGCTAACACGTGTAAAGCCCTTGGAAGAGTGCCTGATGCGCAGTGATGTGTGACTGTCAGCCATGAATCACCGAGTGGGCCCGCTACCTGCCAGGCATAGAAGACACGGCGCCGAGAATTCTCCAGCCCCACAGCGGGAGGCCGTTCGGTGTCTTGGTCCCCAGTTCTTCCTGTCGGGCAAGTCTCCTTCATCTCCCCCAGTTCTGGATGCCGGGGGTATGAGAGCCAAGCCTCAGCCCTAAACCACTGAGCTCAACTTGGTCACTCTGTGACTTTGGACAAAGCGATTTTCTCTTTCAACCTGTAAAATCAGGATAATGAACTCTACCTCTCAGCAGTAACTCCCAGCCCCTGAGATGCTGGGATGTCATCTGACAGAGCAGGCATCCTCCCACTTAACTCCTGTACTCAAGACCACTAAGTGCCAGAGCCCAGGACGCAGCAGTGAACAGGACAGTGTCCGCTTCCATGTGGCTCCTGCTCCAGCTTACAGATAAAGACATCAGCAGCTGCGGGTGTGAGGAAGAGACAAGCGGTGCTCAGAGTGGGGACAAGTCTGTCGGTGGAGCTGTGGAGGGCTGCTCCAGGAGGCAAATGATGCTGAAGGTGGGAGAGGAAAAGGAGTTTTAATTAAGACTTTAATTGAGTTAAAGGGGAGGTGGGGTGGAGGATGGAAGCAAAGGCCAGTGTGGCAAGAGCAGAGAGAACGAGGGCTGGGGGCAGGAAGAGGGCACGCGGGCCCTGGGGGGCTCGACGAGGGGCTGGGGCGCCGGCCCATAGAAGCTCTGAAGAGACTGAGTGGAGGGCGACAGGACAGGCTCTGCTCTGGCAGGTCCCCGCTTGCTGCCATGTGGCAAGGGCTGCGGGGCTGGAAGAGCAGACAATGACCTCCAGGCCCAGCACAGGGGCCTCCCTCTGCCTCTGACCTGATTGCCTACGACTCTTTGGTCACTCTACTCCAGCTCCGTGGCTTCCATGCCACTCTGCACAACCCACCCCCAGCCTCACCCCCGGCAAGCTCCCACCTCAGAGGTTCGCGCCTGCCACTCCCCAACTGGAGTGTTCCCCCTTCTTCCAGTCCCCAACCACGTGACTCCAAACTGCGACCAGCCCCATGCTGCACCCCCGCCATCCCTTCCACGTTATCATCTAACGTGCCATCTCCATCCAAAACGTAAGGCCCACGAGGACAAAGATTTACTCTTGTATCCCCAGCACCCAGAACAGCGCCAGACACATCGTAAGCACTTAATAAACACTTGCTCAATTGAACTAAAGCAGAGAGCGCAGTCAGGAGGCTCCTGGCACTCTCCAGGAAGATGCTAGTATCCTGGACCAGGGACATGGGAGTAGGGGAGAGATGAATTCTAAAGACAATTAGGAGGTAAAGCTTATGAGACCTGATGACGGGAGTTGGTACCAAAGTCCACAGACTCGCATGGCTCAAACAGACAAGCTAGGCCACTAGGATTCTGGCCCGGGAATGTGAACAGAGGGCCGCAGGACATTTTGCTAGTTGTGGGTGGGAGCTGAGGTGGAAAGGGCACTGCCCCAGGGCGGGAGGTGTTCTAGAGCCGGGTCAGGTCGAGCTCAAATCATGAGTGAGTGGAGAGAGAAGGTGGAGCTATCGGGAGGCAGAGAGAACCCCGCAGCTCCAGGTCCAGTGGATGTTATGTTCTCACGACAGTGGTTCTTAACCCATTGTGGGTCTGTATTGGCCCCCAGAGATCTGGTGGCAACTAAGGACACTTGCCTTGAAAGGAATGCCTG